TGGTTTCCCTGCCCATCCTGGACCTTACATGCAACCATTTCTCTGCTCTCATTAATTTTCTCTGTCTTGCTTTTGTTTTTTTTTTTTGTTTTTGTTTTTGTGTTTTGATAAACAGCTCTCTGCCCTTCTTGGGCTATTCTTTTCTTTATATATGTCTTTCTTCTCACTTAGGGGAAAAAATACTTTCTAACCATCTTCTCCTTTGCCTGTCTTCAACCTCTGGGTTCAACTTCATAGCTATAAAGTCTTTCCCAGCCAGTGTCCATCTCCCGGACCCGATGCCACCCAGTAAGGTAGACTGCTATGCTTCCTCTAGCTCTCCTTCACACTTTCTAACATTTTTTTACTTTTTCTTAAAAAACAAACAAACAAACAAAAAAAAAAAAACAGCTCTCTTTCCTCCTTGGGATTTTCTCTTCTTAATCTCTTGTGATTTTTCTCACCTAGAGGAGAAAGTTTCTAGCTATACCCAACTTTGCCTGTTTTGAGCCTCTGGGTTCTACTTCAGGGCTCTGAAAGTGTCCCTCTCCGAGACCTAGCGGTAGCCAGATAGGAAGACTACTTTGCTTTCGCTTGCTCTCTTCAGTTTCTTCTCTTTTCCTTTTTTTGGAAAACAACTCTGTCTTCCTTTGTATTTTCTTTTATTAATCTCTATCTTTTTTCTCACCCAAGACAGAAAGCTGCTAGCCATTCTCAACATTGTCTGTTATGGACCTTTGAGTTCAACATCATGGCAGTCAAGTTCCCCTCAGCCAAAGTTCTCCTCCAAAACCTTTCACTAGCCAGGTAGGAAGACTGCTTTGCTCCCGCTTGCATTCCTCTCTTCCTTCTAACATTTTTTTCTTTTTTCAAGAAACAGCTCTCTGCCCTCATTGAGCTTTTCTCTTGTGAACTTCTGTACTTTTCTTACCTAGAGAAGAAAGCTGCTAGCCATCTTCACCTTTCCCTATTTTGGTCCTCTGCATTCAATTTCAATTCTTTGAAGTCTTTTTAGTGAGAAGCTGCTTTTATTTTTTTAAGAAAGGTTTTTACCACAGAGCATGTGCCTTCACCAGAGAGACAGAATGAAACAGGGAGACAGAAAGTGAGAAATCACCCCCTGAGGGGGAGGCCACACCACAGTCCCTTCTTCTCCATTCTGCTCTCAGGATCTTGTGCGTGTATGCACATGCACTTGGTGTTAAGTTTAAGCTACTGGGTCCAGGACTAAAACCACGGTCAACTACATGGGAATTCAGCAGCGACATAGCCATTGTGCTAACAGCTGGTCCCAGAAGCCCCTTTTTCAAACAAACACAAGCCAGGATAGAAATCTGCAAGCCAGAATAGAGAGCTGCTATCCATTTCCACCTTTTTGTGATTTGAGCCTCTTTGTAAAACTTTGTGGCTGAGAATTTGCTCCTAAACAGTGACCCTCTCCTAGCCCCAGCACTAGCCAGGACAGAAAGCCACTAGACAACTTCACCATTACCTATTTTGGACCTCAGTGTTCAACTACATGGTCATATAGTCTGCCCTAGCCCCTGTTGCCAGCCAGACATCTCACTAGCCAGGAAAGAAGGCTGCTAGCCCTCTCCACATTTTCCTGTTTTTGGCCTCTGGGTTCAACTTCATAGCTGCCATGTCTCCCCTCTCCAAGACTCTGTGCCTAATACATATGAAGGCTGCTTTGCTCCCTTTTGCTCTCTTGTGTAACTTGAACATTTCTCTCTCTCTCTCTCTCTCTCTCTTTGTGAAATACAGTGCTCTACCATCCTTGGGCTATTCTCTTATTAATAGCTGTCTTTTTTCTCACCTAGGCAGAAATTTTCTAACCATCTCAATCTTTGCGTGTCTTGGGCCTGTGGGTCAAAATTCTCAGCTGTGCAGTCTGTCACAGTCAGTGTCTTCCTCTTAGACCCAATGTGATCTAGTTAGGTAAATGGCTATGCTTCCTCTACATCTCCATTGTCTCTTCTTTTTTTTTCATTTTATAAAAACTGCTCTCTGCCCTCCTTTTGGTTTCTCTTGTAAGTCTCTCTCTCTCTCTCCCACTCCCTCTCACTCTCCCTCTCCCCTTCTCTCTCTCTCTCTCTCTCTCTCTCTCTCTCTC